GGTTACGGCATTGCTGTCTTCTTCTTCTTCTTCGTCTTCGTCTTCTTCTTCTTTCTTCTTCTTCTTTCTTCTTTCTTCTTCTTCTTCTTCTTCTTCTTCTCACCAGACTTACCCCAATTGGTCGATACTTCCTCTTACGTCATCACTTCCGTGGTTCATCTTCAATCAGCGAACTTCCCAACGGTGACGTCATAAGTGAGAGATATGACGCACTACGATTTTGATTACCGTTGATAATGAGGGTGATAGTGAGCGATGCGAGAGTGATGATGATGATGATGATGATGATGATGATGATCATGATGATGATTATTATTATTCTTATTCTTCTTCTTCTTCTTCTTCATACAAAGACGGACAAATAAACCAATAAGCTAAGCTTAGAGGATGATTGTTTGGAAATTCAACACTGCTGACCAATCAAGGACTGATAACTATCAGGCGTTGATTGGTCAAAACTTTTCACGCTTGACCAATAAGGGAGCAATAATAGTTTCAACTGACTGACCGACAATCAACAGTCTTTTTGTCCGGAAATATCGGAAATTCAAAGGTTTGAAGAGAGAGAGAGAGAGAGAGAGAGAGAGAGAGAGAGAGTAAAACAGGTTGAAAAATATATAATAATATAATAATTACATCGATAAATACATAACTAAAATAAATAAAAAACGTAAAAATAACTCCAAATATAACTGTAAAAAAATAAATAATATAATAAATTCGTGGAAAAATAAAAAACTTAATAAAGAAGAAATATTACCTCGCGTACAAGCTGGTCGATCTGAAAGTTGTAAACTGTCAATAAAAACATTAAATAAAGGTTATGCAAGTGAGGCATAGAGAGAGAGAGAGAGAGAGAGAGAGAAAGCAAGATAAAAGAGATAAAAGAGAGAGAGAGAGAGAAAGAGAGAGAGAGAGAGAGAGTGTAAAGCAAGATAAAAGAGATATAAGAGAGAGAGAGAGAGAGAGAGTGTAAAGCAAGATAAAAGAGATAAAAAGAGAGAGAGAGAGAAAAGATAGAGAGAGAGAGAGAGAGTAAAGCAAGATAAAAGAGGATAAAAGAGAGAGAGAGAAAGATAGAGAGAGAGAGAGAGAGTAAAAGCAAGATAAAAGAGATAAAAGAGAGAGAGAGAGAAAGATAGAGAGAGAGAGAGAGAGGAGGTAAAGCAAGATAAAAGAGAGATATAAGAGAGAGAGAGAGAGAGAGAGAGTGGAAGCAAGATAAAAAGAAAGATAAAAGAGAGAGAGAGAAAGATAGAGAGAGAGAGAGATGTAAAGCAAGATAAAAGAGATAAAAGAGAGAGAGAGAGAGACAGAGTGTAAAGCAAGATAAAAGAGATAAAGAGAGAGAGTGTTACAAAATAAAAGAGAGTAAAAAAGAGAGAGAGAAAGGAGGAGAGGAGAGAGAGAGACAGAGTGTAAAGCAAGATAAAAGAGATAAAAAGAGAGAGAGAGACAGAGGAAGCAAGATAAAAGAGATAAAAGAGAGAGAGAGAGAGAGAGAGAGAGAGAGAGAGAGAGAGAGAGAGAGAGAGAGAGAGAGAGAGAGAGAGAGACAGAGTGTAAAGCAAGATAAAAGAGATAAAGAGAGAGAGAGAGAGAGAGAGAGAGAGAGAGAGAGAGAGAGAGAGAGAGAGAGAGAGAGAGAGAGAGAGACAGAGGTAAAGCAAGATAAAAGAGATAAAAGAGAGAGAGAGAGAGAGAGTGAAAAGCAAGATAAAAGAGATAAAAGAGAGAGAGAGAAAGACTACCTAGCTTTGGCAATAAGAGATGGAAAAAGTCAAGCATGATACTAATTAGTGAACCAAGTAATTTGTGAGACTTTGGTAGGATGATAAATACTGCTTCAAGGATGATACTGTTGTATAACTCAGGTAGGATACTAATCACTGAGGCAGGTATGTTGTTAGGTAAGATAGTCATTACTGAAAGAGGCACGTTTGGGAGGACCAGGTAGGATGTTAATTAGTAAGACTGAAGTGTGTGTGTGTGTGTGTGTGTGTGTGTGTGTGTGTGTTCACCACCTCAGTGTCTTGCCACGCTAAGGTCAAGTGTACAATCACTACCTCGCACTGACTTTATCTGTACCTACACTGACTCACTCCCCGCACAGGATGAAATTTGCACAAGTGAACCTGTATGAGGGACGGGCCGAGACGAGAGGGGCAGATTAGTCGGTTTATCCTCTCGTACACAGTTGAAGGTCCCCATGACGCTGAAGGAGGAGTCGAGTTAAAGAAGGAGGAGTTGAAGGAGGAGCTGAAGGAGGAGTCGAGTTACAGAAGGAGGAGTTGGAGGAAGAGGAGTTGAAGGAGAAAGAGCTGAAGGAATAGTTGAGGTCTTTATCTCCCCCCCCCTCCCACATCCTCCTCCTTCAGTTTCTCATCCTTCAACTCCTTCTTTTTAACCCCTTCTTCGTCTTCTCCTTTATTCCCTCCCTTTTCACATTTTCTTCCTTCACCACAACAACCATCGATGGTGGGACCTGTAAATAGACCTTCTGGAGGACCTGTAAATAGACCTTCTGGTGGACCTGTAAATAGACCTTCTGGGAGGACCTGCAACAGACCTTCTGGTGGACTCTGGTGACTCCTGGGGGACCTGTATGGTAGACCTTCAGGACCTGTATGGTAGACCCTCTGGTGGACCTGTATGGTAGACCTTCTGGGACCTTTATGGTAGACCTTCTGGAGGACCTGTATGGTAGACCCTGAGGACTGTAGTAGACCTTTGTGAGACCTGTATGGTAGACCTTCTGGAGACCTGTAAATAGACCTTCTGGTGGGACCTGTGGTAGACCTTCTGGAGGACCTGTATTGTAGACCTTCTGGACCTGTAAAAGACCTCTGGTAGGACCTGTATAGTTGACCTTCTGGTGGGACCTGTAATAGACCTTCTGGAGGACCTGTATGGTAGACCTTCTTGGCTGACCTGTATGGTAGACCTTCTGAGGACCTGTATGTAGACCTTCAGGAGGACCTGTATGGTAGACCTTCTGAGGACCTGTATTGTAGACCTCTGGTGGGACCTGTAAAAGACCTTCTGGTGGGACCTGTATTGTAGACCCTGGTGGACCTGTAAAAGACCTTCTGGAGGACCTATGGTAGACATTCTGGGGGACGTGTATGGTAGACCTTCTGGAAGACCTGTATGGTAGACCTCTGGTGACCTAGGTAGACCTTCTGGTGGGACCTGCAAGTTCTGCATGGTAGACCTTCTGACCTGTATGGTAGACCTTCTGGTGGACCTGTATGGTAGACCTTCTGGTGGACCTGTATGGTAGACCGTCTGGTGGACCTGTATGGGGACCTTCTGGACGACCTGTATGGTAGACCTTCTGGTGGACCTGATGGTAGACCTTCTAGTGGACTGTATGGTAGACCTTCTGGAGGTCCTGTATGGTAGACCTTCTGGTGGACCTGTATGGTAGACCTTCTGGTGGGACCTGTATGGTAGACCTCTGGAGGACCATGGTAGACCATCTGGAGGACCTAAGTGGTAGACCTTCTGGAGGACCTGTAAGGTAGACCTTCTGGTGGACCTATGTGGTAGACTTTCGGGAGGACCTGTATGTAGACCTCAGGAGGACCTGTATGGTAGACCTTCTGGTGACCTGTATGGTAGACCTTCTGGAGGACCTGTATGATAGACCTTCTGTAGGATCTGTATGGTAGACCTTCAGGAGGACCTATATGGTGGACTTCTGGGGACCTGTATGGTAGACCTGGAGGACCTGTGTGGTAGACCTTCTGGAGGACCTGTATGGTAGACCTTCTGGTGGACCTGGAGTGGTAGACCTGGAGACCTGTATGGTAGACCTTCAAGAGGACCTGTATGGTAGACCTTCTGGTGACCTGTATGGTAGACCTTCTGGAGGACCTGTATGGTAGACCTTCTGGAGGACCTGTATGGAGACCTTCTGGTGGACCTGTATGGTAGACCGTCTGGTGGACCTGTATGGTAGACCTTCTGGACGACCTGTATGGTGGTAGACCTTTGGTGGACCTGCATGGTAGACCTTCTAGTGGACCTGTAGGACCCTGGAGGTCCTGTATGGAGACCTTCTGGTGGACCTGTATGGTAGACCTTCTGGTGGGACCTGTAGACCTTCTGAGGACCTGTATGGTAGACCTTCTGGAGGACCTGTATGGTAGACCTTCTGGAGGACCTGTAAGGTAGACCTTGGTGGACCTGTATGGTAGACTTTCGGGAGGACCTGTATGGTAGACCTTCAGGAGGACCTGTATGGTAGACCTTCTGTGGACCTGTATGGAGACCTTCTGAGGACCTGTATGATAGACCTTCTGTAGGATCTGTATGGTAGACCTTCAGGAGGACCTATATGGTAGACCTCTGGTGGACCTGTATGGTAGACCTGGAGGACCTGTGTGGTAGACCTTCTGGAGGACCTGTATGGTAGACCTTCTGGTGGACCTGAGTGGTAGACCTCTGAGACCTATGGTAGACCTCAGGAGGACCTGTATAGACCTCTGGTGACCTGTATGGTAGACCTTCTGGAGGACCTGTATGGTAGACCTTCTGGAGGACCTGTATGGTAGACCTTCTGGTGAACTGTATGGTAGACCTACTGGAGGACCTGTATGGTAGACCTTCTGGTGGACTCTATGGTAGACCAGGAGGACCTGTATGGTAGACCTTCTGGTGGACCTGTAGACCTCTGGAGGACCCATGGTAGACTCTGGAGACCTGTATGGTAGACCTTCTGGAGGACCTGTATTGTAGACCTTATGGTGACCTGTATGGTAGACCTTCTGTGCGACCTGTAAATAGAGCCTTCTGAGACCTGTATGACAGACCTTCTGGAGGACCTGTATTGTAGACCTTCTGGTGGACCTGTATTAGACCTTCGGTGGGACCTGTAAATAGACCTTCTGGTGGGACCTGTAAATAGACCTTCTGGAGGACCTGTATAGACCTCTGAGGACCTGTATGCTAGACCTTCAGGAGGACCTATATGTAGGACCTTCTGGTGGACCTGTATGGTAGACCTTCTGGAGGACCTGTATGGTAGACCTTCTGGTGGACCTGTGTGTAGACCTTCTGGAGGACCTGTATGGTAGACCTTCAGGAGGACCTGTATGGTAGACCCTGGTGACCTAGGTGGTAGACCTTCTGGAGGACCTGTATGGTAGACCTTAGAGGACCTGTATGGTAGACCTTCTGGTGACCTGTATGGTAGACCTTCTGGTGGGACCTGTATGGTAGACCTTCTGGTGGACCAGTATAGACCTTCTGGTGGGACCTGTATGGTAGGCCTTCTGAGGACCTGTATGGTAGACCTTCTGGAGGACCTGTATGGTAGACCTTCTGAGGACCTGTATGGTAGACCTTCTGGACCTGTATGTAGACCTTCTGGAGGACCTGTATAGGAACCTTCTGGAGGACCTGTATGGTAGACCTTCTGAGGACCTATTGTAGACCTTATGGGACCTGTATGGAGACCTTCTGGTGCGACCTAATAGACCTTCTGGAGGACCTGTATGACAGACCTTCTGGAGGACCTGTATTGTAGACCCCTGACCTGTATTGTAGACCTTTCTGGACCTGTAAAAGACCTTCTGGTGGGACCTGTAAAAGACCTTCTGGAGGACCTGTATGATAGACCTTCTGAGGACCTGTATGCTAGACCTTCAGGAGGACCTATATGTAGACCTTCTGTGGACCTGTATGGTAGACCTTCTGGGAGGACCTGTATGGGTAGACCTTCTGGTGGACCTGTGTGGTAGACCTCTGGAGGACCTGTATGGTAGACCTTCAGGAGACCTGTATGGTAGACCTTCTGGTGGACCTATGTGGTAGACTCGGAGGACCTGTGGTAGACCTTTGAGGACCTGTATGGTAGACCTTCTGGTGGACCTGTATAGACCTTCTGGACCTGTATGGTAGACCTTCTGTGACCAGTATGGTAGACCCGGGACCTGTATGGTAGGCTTGGAGGACCTGTATGGTAGACCTTCTGGAGGACCTGTATGGTAGACCTTCTGAGACCTGGTGGTAGACCTTCTGAGGACCTGTATGGTAGACCTTCTGGTGGACCTGTATGGTAGACCTTCTGGAGGACCTGTATGGTAGACCCTCTGGAGGACCTGTATGGTAGACCTTCTGGAGGACCTGTATTGTAGACCTATGGTGGACCTGTATGGTAGACCTTCTGGTGCGACCTGTAACAGACCTTCTGGAGGACCTGTATGACAGACCTTCTGGAGGACCTGTATTGTAGACCTTCAGGACCTGTATTGTAGACCTTCTGTGGACCTGTGACCTTCTGTGACCTGTAAAAGACCTCTGGAGGACCTGTGATAGACCTTCTGGAGGACTGTATGCTAGACCTTCAGGAGGACCTATATGGTAGACCTTCTGGTGGACCTGTATGGTAGACCTTCTGGAGGACCTGTATAGACCTTCTGGTGGACCTGTGGTAGACTCTGAGACCTGTATGGTAGACCTTCAGGAGGACCAGGAGACTCTGGTGGACCTGTATGGTAGACCTGGAGGACCTTGGTAGACCTTTAGGAGGACCTGTATGGTAGACCTTCTGGTGGACCTGTATGGTAGACCTTCTGTGGACCTGTATGGTAGACCTTCTGGTGGACCATTTGGTAGACCTCTGGTGGGACCTGTATGGTAGGCCTTCTGGAGACCTGTATGGTAGATCTGGAGGACCTGTATGGTAGACCTTCTGGAGGACCTGTATGGTACACCTTCTGGTGGACCAGTATGGTAGACCTTCTGGAGGACCTGTATGGTAGACCTTCTGGTGGGACCTGTATAGCACCTTCTGGAGGGACCTGTATGGTAGACCTTCTGGTGGGACCTGTATAGTAGACCTTCTGGTGGACAAGTATGGTAGACTGGTGGGACCTATGGTAGACCTTCTGGAGGACCTGTATGGTAGACCTTCTGGAGGACATGTATGGTAGACCTTCTGGAAGACCTGTAGGTAGACCTTCTGGTGGACCTGTATGGTAGACCTATTGGAGGACCTGTGGTAGACCTTCAGGAGGACCTGTATGGTAGACCTCTGGTGGACCTGTGTGGTAGACCTCTGGTGACCTGTATGGTAGACCTTCTGGTAACCTGTATGGTAGACTTTCTGGATGACCTGTATTGTAGACCTGGAGGACCTGTATTGCAGACCTTCTGGTGGACCTGTATTGTAGACCTGGACCTGTATGGTAGAACTTCTGAGGACCTGTATGGTAGACCTTCAGGAGGACCTGATGTAGGCCTTCTGAAGACCTGATGGTAGACCTTCAGAAGGACCTGTGCCAGGTGGACCTGTATTGTAGACCTGGTGGACCTGTATGGTAGAACTTGGAGGACCTATGGTAGACCTTAGAGGACCTGTATTGTAGACCTTCAGGAGGACCAGTATGGTAGACCTTCTGGTGACCTGTATGGTAGACC